CTGTCCTATTAAATATGATCAGCTGTTGGTACCATATACTGAATGTTACAGGACTGAACACATTTTTATTTTATTAGATTATAAATGTATATTCTTTGCTATGTTTAGAGTCCACTTATTTGAAATTGAGCTAAATATAGTCCTGAAACGAACCTGCTACAGCCTGTGTTTTCTGAGAACATTAGTCACTATTTGCTCTGCTGTGTTACCTGGGGGTAATAACAAAAGGATCCCACAATCTGTGTGCCACAACTTCACGCTGTGAGTCAACACAGCTCATTGGTTGGATGCACATTAATTGTTTTCCAGTGACAGCCAAAGAAAAGGAGTGAACGCTCAGCTCAAAAGACAAATGTGCTTGTTTGTAGACTCAGCATTAACACGAGTGACACCCGTGTTGGCACACACGCACGCACTCGCCTGTAACATGTCAGTCTTTGGTGTTATCAGATTGTTTCCTGTTTCTAATCTCCACCTGCCACATATAACCATATTTTGCATGTGTGTGTGTGGGTTCTTTACAGAGGTCTGGACCTGGTCAATGTCCACCTGTTCCATGATGCCTCCAACCTCATTGCCTGCAACTCCAGTCCTTCCATTTACTCAGCCAACCGCAAAAACGCTCTCAGATATGTCATCAACAGGTCAGATTTCCAGCTGCACACAACTATTGAAAATATGACTGTGAAATGTACAAGGTGAAAGCAAATACACACTAAGTAAAAACCAAAAAACGACAAAGTAAGGCTCCTCGTCTTGGTTAATATCTGCTATCATCAAGCCTTTCCTGTCTTGTAAACAGGATATTTCAGGAATGTACATAAGCTCTGACCTTTGAATGGAACAATAGACTATCTTGAAAATATTATCCTATTTATATGAATTTGTAAACACTCAAAGGAAAGGATTAATAAAGAAAAGGTGAGGTTTTATAGAGAAAAAGTGAGGTTTAATAGAGAAAAAGTGAGGTTTTATTGAGGAACAAGACCCAAACATTTGTGTGTGATTTATGTGCTATTTCCTTTCAGGATATCAGACAGCTGCTACACTCCTCTGCCTTTCTTCCTGTTTGGAGATTTCAACTTCCGTTTGGACACACTCAGTCTGGTCCAGGTGTGTAACAACTTTAATTTCTCCTAAAGCTCAGGTGATCGGGATGTGATGTGCCATTTTAACACACACCCTTTCCTGCACTTGTGTTTCTGCGAGCAGCATCTGTCCACCTCGGCAGATGTGCAGACGGTGAAGAAGGACTGCAGCAACGAAGTGGAGAAAATCATCTGTGAAGAAAAAGACAACGACCACCAGGTGATTAAAATCAGTTCGGATAAGACGGCGACTAATGCTTTATTTTAGTGCTGCTTTCACTGTACCTGGCCTCGTTCACCTGCAGGTGCTGCTCCACATTGAGGAGAAGCTGTTCACCTACCTGCACCAGGCGGTTTTCAGGGAGGATAACGGCAGAGCAGTGAGTACACATGCTCAACCTTTACCCACACTGATCCCATCAGCTGCACATGCCTGAGAGAAACTCTGTGCTTCAACTGGCTGCTTAGCAACAATCTGAGTCTTCACAGATTTTAGATTAGATCTCTATCAGCGGAAGTAAAGTCCTCTGAATGACAGTAAAGTAAATACAAAAGCAATGAGGTAAAGAAAACTGATAACTTTGACAGGGTTTTCACCCATGTTTAAGTTGTCACTCACGTCATGCTCGTGTTTAATGTGTTGAGATTTCCTGTAATCAGCACCGGCCTCTATCCCTCAGCTTTTGAAATATGACAAAGAAGCAGCAGCCTTTCAGGATGTTATTAGGGAAGAGGACATCACGTTTCCACCCAGGTAAGACTTCTAACTGAGCTGCCTGCTGCAAACATACTGGATATAAACCCCCATCTGTTATCCCTTCAATGCACTGTCCTCCTCTCTCTCAGCTACCCCTACAGTGAAGAGTACACTAAACCGACCCAGTACATGAACACTCGCTGCCCTGCCTGGTGTGATCGTATCCTCATGTCACACACTGCCCAAGAATTCATCCACACGGTCAGTCAGTGCTCACTGAAGCTGAAACTCTTTTTCATGTTACATGTTTACGCTTCCACCCAGAGTGCAGAATATTTTCTCTGGTAGAAGGCATATACGTACTGTATATATGCACGGGACTGCAGCTTCTCAATGGGTTATTTATTTTCAGGTAAGGCTAAGTGGACCTTTCAAACACCATTGCAAACAATATTTACAGTCTCATGGCTAGAGAGTTTATAACAAGATCATCAAAATAATGATGAATTATCCTTTTTTATTTTTTTTATTTTTTTTAAGAATACTCACCTGTCGACCTTCATGTTATCTTATATATATATATATATATTATACGCATTATTGATATCTATAGCATAATATATTATTATATATATATCACCTATATATATATATAGTATATTATTTATTTTGTTATACTATAAATTCTGTTAACAATGTTTTTTTCTAACAGGGTAATTTACCATTCAAAATTCATGTTATGTTCACTAATCGAGCTCCTTAGATTTTCTGTAAGAAACACGGACAAAAGACCAGGCTTACTTATTCCAGATGGTGACCGTCGTTTTCGGCTGTACCGCTGGTAGCTAATTAAATGCGTAGATTATGGAGTTGGTGTTGTGAGCTAACTTGTTTTAATAGTGCGCTTTATGACTTCCGTACATGATGAGACTGTTCTGTGCAGGTGGTAGACATTCCACAGATTGTGTGATTACATGGATACTGTTGTATCGGTGAGGACTGAGGCGAAATGGACAGTATAGAGTATCGTTCCATACTGGGTACTCAGAGGGGGCATTACGAGGGGGATTGTCTATAGATCCAAAGTAATGGGTGAACTTAGCTTGGGTGTGGCGCCATTTGGGAATATGAAAAGATATGCTATAGTCATCCTATATAGCCTGGCATTAGGTTATGGTTGCGGATTGAATGAAACCTCTTTTTACAATCCATATAGAATATACGCTGTTGGTGTTGTCACTTGCTGTAGTAAAGCTTCTGGTTTGAACTACATTCTCCACTGCTTGCTACTCTTGACTCTGCACTTGCTCAGTGTTTCAGTGGGCCGTCCATGTAACAACCAAATAGTGCGTTTTAGCCGGATAACATGCAACAATAGATTATTAAGAACACTTTTACCAAGAAGGTATTAGAATACACAAACGCGATCCTGGCCCTTGTTTATTGTGTTTGCGTAACATTGGTTCATTTTAATACCCTTGAACTGGTTATTGTGGCATTTAGAAACACAGAATGTCTGACTCATTATAACCACTTTTTTCTGCATCTTTCATTATTTCTTACAAGGGCTGGGCCACTTAGGTCTTGCTGTCATTTACTGGAATTTTTACCATCGGTAAATATTTACATAACTTGGTTATTGGTTCTGTCTTTTTTGTGTGTTCTGGTTTCTCCCTCCAGCATTTCCATGAAAAGCTGCCTTATCCTTGTTAGAAAAACACACTATAAAACTAGATGGTGTCTTTCTTGTTCTACTCAAAATTGTGACGGTTCTAAAGCAATAATTGTGTCAGCTCCGGTCGCCGACGATCACTGAATTCTTCGGAGTACAAACAGGTTAATATAGCATATATGTGTGGGGGGCAAACAAACCAGCCCTTGTGAGTAACTCTGGTGTGTTCTTGTGTTTCTTGTAGCGGTTTTCTTGTTCTTCTCCTGAGCAATATGACCATTGCATCGGGATGTTCTGAATGGTAAGGAGTATGTGCCAGTGAGTGTGTTTTTCAGTATATGTACCGTGCTTGTGGAGATGTATATGTTCTGGGGATTCCAAGTGTGTGAGAGCGATCACAGTCAATCTTGCTCCGCTCCCCAGAAGCCATTAACCCAGGCTGGCCATGAGTGGATATAACTAAGGATGAAGTTGCTCGGCACGGCGCCTTCTGTGTCCATGGTAGTGGACCAGAGGCGATCAGCACCTTTCACTGGTTATGGTCTTTGATCCTCTCCACTTTGTCACTGTGCTACACATAGAGTGCATTGGCTGGCCCGCTTTCATTAATTACCATTGGCATGTCGCTGGCAGACGATGCTCCTGCCCCGGACAGGTTATTTGGCATTGTTTCACGGCCATGATTTTTGTTTTGTGGTTTATTTTTCTTATTTTAAGGATGTGACGTCTTTTTCGCATGAGGCTGCAAGAATGATGCCGATCCACACATGAAGCGGAGCGTAAAAGATGCTACAACGGTAGCTCGGCTTTTTCGTTTCATGTTTGACAGTTTGCAGACACAGCAGGCAAGTTATCCGGGACATCGTAACTCGGCTACATTTTGACTTTCATTCATAACAGTTGATTTCACATGGGAGTGCTTGGCCTTCTTCTAGAAGGGAGGTGTTCTTGGTGTGGCTTTTGAATCGAGCTCTTGGAATTTTTCGCCAATGGCCTTACTTCGGATATTAATATGTGACGAAACTAAGGCACGCTTTTTGATGAACCGCTGACAA